ATAATGTGTGCACTCTTCTTCTGTGTTTACTCGCGGGATGTAAACAGCGAGCGCTACTGCCCCCAGCACATCCTGTAGTGCACTGCAGTTATAGATGAGCATGAGGCACCGACATGTGATTCTTAACAACAATAACACGACGCGTCGACGCTTCGTTTTCGTCTCGATGAATTTGTCGCGTCGACGTAATCGATTACGTCGACTAATCGTTGCAGCCCTAGTCGTTAGTTGCAGCACTAGTTAAATTTGTGTTTGACTGTGATTTTCATAAATGTTTTTTTTCACTATGTGTGGTAGGATTGGGATGCATTAGTTGAATTATTCCAATAGTACTTTGTTCATGCATTAGCAGTGCTATAGGAAATGCTAATAGTAAAAATCTAAAAGTATTGGTATTGACATTTTTTTTTTTTTTTTACCAAGAGCGAAATGTATTCATTAGGCCTGCACGATATATCGTTTGAATATCGTCATCGCGATGTACATGTGTGCGATAGTCACATCGCAGAGCCTGCGATGTCGGAGGTGAATGAACTCAGTTAATTTCAACAGTAACTGACTGAGATACACTGCATGTGACTCTGCATGTGCTGTGCAGCGATCCACCAATCACCTTCGTCCTTAACTCAGTTGCCAATCAGACTCAGTTCTCAGTTGCCAATCAGACTATCCTGCCAGCTGTCAATCAAAATGAGATCGGAGGAAACCCACCCCTGCACATGTCCTGCACATGTCCTGCACATGGAGTGAGACGCGTGCTGAGAATTACTTTCGGAACATTCTTCATCACTGTTTAGCCCAACAAATAAGAACTGTATGGGTTTTAAATGGTACATTTCCGTGGATCACTCAACTATAAGCAGTGCGCGTTTTGTGAGGTGCATGCAATTCTCGGAGGACATGCGTTTCTCAGCACAACCCCGTTAACAACAACAACAACGATCGCAAACTAAGCAACAAGCAGAGAAAACCACAGAAGATTAAGACTTGTTGCCAAAAAGAAAAGGAAAGTCAGTTATCTGGAATTATTTCGGTTACAAGATGGATAATGTCGACCAAAACACGTGTTCTGTGTTCATCTGTTTCCACAATAACGTCCCTGAACAATAAAAGCTAAAAATATCTCTAAGACAGACAGAAGCGGTTCTACAAACATTCACAAAAAGAGGTAAGATCAGTGCAGGTTAACTGTCCTCAAGATTTCAGCAGTGCAGCATAACATTAAGTGCTATTCAGGTCATCTGGTGAAAATTCCTCTATATTTTAATATCGCAATATATATCGCAGGGTTGAAAAAAATCGCAATACTAATTTTTTCCAATATCGTGCAGCATTAGTATTCATTATGCCGTGCTTCACAAGTTGCCAATTGTACTAAAAAAAAAAAAAAAAAATTTGTAATGGTTGGTCTACAAGCTCACACTTTTCTTTTTCCATGTGTTTTCTTTCCAGCCATATTGAATATGGCCTCTAATTATTTGAAAGAGTGGCGGAGAAAAAGATCTAGGGAGGGTGATTTCTTGGATGAATTCACTAGTGATGAGGATGTGTCACAGGAGGACACAAAAGAGGAGGCTGGGGCAAGTCAATCTGGCCAACCACCAAATGAGACGTCTTTTGAAACACAGCGTTTGGAGGACACGCTAGAGGGTGTGGCAAGTCAATCTGGCCAGTTAACAGACGACACTTTAGGAAGTTCTTCTTTTAATACAACCTTGGAAGAAGAGCCTGACAATCAAGAGGACTACGGTTATAGTGAATATCCGGACACAAGTGATGAAGAAACTGAGCTTGTTGACTTGGAATCCCAAACTGAAGTTGAACCGTCAAGCCTAAAGCCGCGTTCAGACCAAACGCGACCAGGTCGCGTCGCGTCGCGTTGGTCGCTCAGGTCTCGTCGCGTGGTGCCCTGGTGTGTCAACACCGGGTCCAAAGCTGCAGTCACGGAGGTCGCAGGTCGCGGCTGGTCGCCGATGACGTCATCACGTTAACGTCAGTAGCTCAGTTTTCAGTGCGACCAGTGTTGAAGATGGACGACATCGTGACCTGTGCTGCCGCATACCTTCGTGTCCGACATAGACGCCGCCGGCGTGTATGGGTGCATGAAACCATCCGGAGGAGGACGGAGCTGGGTGAATATCACCGTTTGCTCCAGGAGCTCCGCCTCGACGATGGCCGTTTCCAGCGGTATTTCTGTTTGTCGACGGCGCAGTTTGAGGACCTCCTCGCCCTGGTGGGAAGCAGCATCTCCCGCCAGGACATCAACTACAGGCGCTCCATTCCAGCTTCGGAGCGCCTGTCTATCTGTCTGCGGTGAGTATAATCAAGTATAATTAATTTAAAATGAGCAGATACACTGGGCAAATAAGGCAAAACTGCAAAGTTTATCAGCTTTCTGTACACTGAGTTCCTCCTGTGAGCTGCTCTTTGCCTCTGTCCTTTAATATCCAGTCAAAATAAAACTTATCTTGCACACACTAATGTGATTTAGAAATTCTGTGAATCTGATCAATTTACTAAAGACAGATAATATAACTCCTGTGAAAATAATCCTATCTGATCAGACTGATAAGGTGCTGCTAAAGAAGTAAACAGGATTGGTCTGTGTCCTTTATTTGATCCACTCAGTAAAGTAAGAAGTTACACTGAAAAAAATTAACCCTTAACACATTCAATACATACTGTAAAAAAATTACCTGGAAATCAATTACTTTAAAATGACCAGATACACTGGGTGCTAGCATAAATGTTTGTGTCAAAGAGGATTTATGGACACTCAAATCTTCGGTTACGTTTCTATTTCATATGGCCTCATATTTTAAATAAAATTTGTAATGAAATTAATTTTTATGTGCTTTAGGTTCCTGGCTACTGGAGACTCCTTCAGGACCATCGCATACAGCTTCCGGGTTGGAGTTTCCACCGTGTCGGGCATCGTGGCAGACACCGTGTCCTGCATCTGGGAGTGCTTGGTGGAGGACTTCATGGCTGTGCCCACCTGTGATGAGTGGAGATCCATAGCACAGGGTTTTGAGGAGCGGTGGAACTTCCCCTTGTGTTGTGGTGCAGTGGATGGGAAGCACGTGGTTCTGAAGGCTCCTGCCAATTCAGGATCACAGTTCTATAACTACAAGGGAACATTTTCTATTGTTCTCTTGGCAGTTGTAGATGCCAATTATTGCTTCCGAGTGATCGATGTCGGAGGCTTCGGGAGGACCTGTGACGGGGGGATTCTGGCCAACTTTGCGTTTGGTCAGGCCCTACGTTCTGGCTCCCTCCAGCTGCCTCCGGATCGGTCACTGCCTGAAGCTGAAAACAGGGGACCCCAACCTCATGTGTTTGTTGCAGATGAGGCCTTCCCGCTCCGGAGAAACCTCATGAGGCCGTATCCAGGGCGCATCCTCCCCAGAGAGAAGCGCATTTTCAACTACCGGCTGTCCAGGGCGTGGCTGGTGGTTGAAGATGCCTTCGGCATTCTTTCCACTCAGTGGAGGATGTACCGACGTGCCCTTGAGGTTTCTCCAGATGTTGCAGAGAAGTGTGTGAAGGCCACCTGTGTCCTTCATAACTTCCTGCGAAGGTCTCAGCCTGAAGCTGCCATGGGGTTGGGTGCCATCACAGGTGGTGAGGAGCCTCAGGCAGGGCTGGGACGTGTCGCTTCAAACAACCCGTCCCGGGAGGCCATCGCAGTCAGGCAGTCCTTCACCGAGCACTTCTCAGCTGAAGGAGCGGTCTCATGGCAGGATTCCATCTAGTGCACTGCACCCCCACAACGGTTCTTTTCAGAGCCACCACAAACAACTGTTGAGCAAATGTCCTACATATATGTACAAGAATGTCTCCATAACTGTGTCTGTGTCCTGCCTCTCATTCTGCTCAGAGTACTGCAAGATACACACACACACACACACAGACCCTTTTTATGCACCTGCAAAAACATGCTATTTACATATCCGATAGGAATGCGGAGGCTTCCTTTTGCCCTAGAAAAATTTAAATTTTTAACACAACTTGGCTGGTCATTTCTCCAAAACACAACCATGAAGCGCCATCTAAACCTGAAGCAGGCAGTTGCTGCATGTACAGTCACCTGAGGGGAGTGAGGTGAGTGCTTCTGAGGAGAACATGAGCAGTGAAGATTAACCTTGGAGCCAGTACAGGGACATGCACATGATTATACAGGGGCAGGGGCTCAATTTTTTTTCCAGTCCCTTATACAATATGGAAATTAATGTAAAGTGAAAAAACTAAGTACTAATTGAAAGCTAACGAGTGTCCTGTGTAGGTGAAAGTGATATGCAATTGCCATTTCTTTTGTGTCAACAAACTATTGTCAACATGACATGATCAAGATGGTAATATTTCAAACACAGATTACCTACATGCTGAAATTACTATCTATCTAACTATCTATTTACTAACTTTATTTCAGACCCAATAAGTCCATATCATTCAACAAGATCAGTATTATTATTATTAATTTGTTAGCCCAGACAACAGTAACGGTGTCATTACATTTTAAGGGGTGCACAAGGGTTAAGTAAAGTTTATACATCGAAGCACTGCAACCTAGTTATTTTACTTCATGACTGCATGTTAAAGAAGGAAACAAGGCAAAGTTGAGAAAACCTTATAATAACAATATTTATAACAACAAATATAACAATAATAATGTAACAATAATAATACTTTTTATAACAACAAAAAAAACAAATTTTTGAACGGCTGCAAAAGCAGATATAAAAATATAATACAATAAAAAATTTCAACTATATACACAAATTTACAAGTTGGATGGGGGGGGGTCATGGCTGAAACAGAGGAGCCTGGCTCGTTCCCCCCCGAGGCTGTCACCCCAGCTAAGGTTCCACTGGTTCCAAATTCAGTGTGAAATCCTGAGCTTCAAAAACTAATTTATACATTTGAAATTTAACTTGCTCCTTAGCCTGGGGTGACAGCCTCGCGAGGGAAGGAGCCAGGCTTAGGAGGAAATGCTCCTCCTCGGGATAGCGAGATGTGGGTGGTGGTGGTGGTGGTGGTGGAGGGGGAGTCTGCTGCCTCCTCAGGGCCTGACAGAGGAGCTCCTCAATCTCCTCCAGTCGTGAGGAGGGAGGCGTCCTCCTCTTCCTCCCTGTCATAAAAAAAAACTAATCGGTTACTATTTGTTTTATAATTTCTATGTGACCTTGAGCAATTTCATTGAATATATGGTTAATATTTAATTTCTATACCTCTTGGCCTGGCTGCAGTGGGGCCCGAGGCATCACTTGCCGCAGTTGAGGGAGCAGGAGAAGCTGACGGGGCAGGAGAGGGAGCTGAAGCAGGAGATGGAGCTGGGGCAGGAGAGGGAGCTGCTGCAGGAGAGGGAGCTGAAGCAGGAGAGGGAGCAGGCTTATCTTTAGTTAAAGTTGTGACAAAAATGTCTGAAATCAAAACTCTGCAATCAGGCAACATTGTTATTCAAATAAAAAATGTTCACACATTACATGTGCATGACTTGATCTGTCCATCTTAAATTAGACTACAATGGTGTGTTTAAACCATGAGGGGACTCAAATTTATTTGCTATGTTTTTCACTCATCAACCAACCGTCAAACTCCACTCCTGAGGGGCCTGCTTCCTCCAGGTCTTCAGGCATCCCAGCAGAAGAAGCAGCATTATCTGCAGTGAAGTCTTCCTCGACCTCCCGAGACATGTTGCTTGATGTGTCCCTCGGGGCAATAAAGGGGTCGAGGAAGGACATCACCGCAGTGAAACGCCACTTCCTCTGCTGGGAGGCCGCCGACCCGCTTCTCCCGCCTTCTTTCTCCCTCCTTTTCTCCCTCAAGTAAACGTCCCGCAGCCCCTTCCACCACTTGCGGCACACATCCACTGCAAAGACACACACACATACGTTGAAACATGTAGCCTAGCATACAGGGGCAGTTAGCTATGTTTTCATAAAACTGTCCGCTCACTGAAATAAATACACAAACAAACTTACCTGAAAGCCCGACATCATGGACCACCTTCACCCATGCCTCGTCCTTGGAGGTGCGGTCCCGGTACAGTCCGCACCCCACGTCGTACAGGACCGGGTGGAAGCTTACCGCCGTGATTAACTGTTCCTCCATTGTTTGATTTTTGATTTTCCCCGCCTCCTCCTTGCTTCGCCGGTTTGTTGACGTCAGCAGAGCCCTGATTGGCTGTCGCGGCACGGAGTCGCGGCTAGTCGCTCCCAAAGTTCAAATATTTGAACTTTGGGAGCGACGCGACTTGGCGTCCTGCGACCTCGGCGACGCGACCATGCGCGACCTGGTCGCCCGGTCGCGCATGGTCGCGTCGCAGGAAGCCGGCGGTCGCCAAGTCGCGTCAGGTCGCGGCTGTTCATAGACTTTGCATTGGGAGCCGTCGCTGAAGTCGCGGAGGTCGCGTCTGGTCTGAACGCGGCGTAAGAGAGGATGTGGCAGCTTGGGCTGTTGAAACAAAGCAGACTCACAGTAGTGTGAATAAGATGTTGGCAATCCTCCGCAAACATGGCCACAATTTGCCCAAAGACGTCCGCACATTATTGCAGACTCCATGTTTTGTGGACAGTAAAAAGAAATGTGATGGGGACTACATTTACTATGGATTAGAGTCAGGTATCCGCAAGTACCTTGAGCAGTGCCCAACTTTCACAGGAGCAGTCATCTTGGACATTAATATTGATGGTGTTCCTCTGTTCAAATCGAGTCAGATGCAGCTTTGGCCAATTTTGGCCAAATTTGACAAGTCTGAGCCTTTCATTGTGTCTCTCTTTTGTGGCAATGGAAAACCTGAACCGGTAGAAGATTATCTACAGGATTTTGTTCAGGAGTTGGTGGACCTTCAAGAAAAGGGCATTGTTCATGAAGGGATCCAGCTTGAGTTCAAGATTAATGCCTTCATATGCGACTCTTCTGCAAGGGCTTTTGTTAATTGCATCAAAGGTCACAATGCGTATCAGGCATGTGAACGCTGTGAAGCTTTGGCCAGCCATGTTGACGGCAGGATGGTGTACACAGACCACGCACCTTGTGAAAAACGAACTGATGAAAGGTTTAAAACAGTTCAATACACTTCCCACCAAAAAAAACCGACACCCCTCATTAAGACTGGAGTCGGATGTGTCAGTCAGTTTGTCTTGGACTACATGCATGTGGTTTGCCTAGGTGCAGTAAAGAGGCTTCTGACATTTCTGATTAAAGGTCCTGTTGAGTGCAAACTGCCCAGAAGCTCAGTTGAAGAACTCTCCAGCCGATTAATGGCACTGAGAGGGAAGATGCCATCAGAATTTGCCAGGCAACCAAGATCATTAGTGGACCTGGATCGGTGGAAAGCCACAGAATTTCGGCAGTTCCTGCTCTACACGGGCCCAGTTGTGCTGAAAGACACTGTCAGATGACCAGTACCACCACTTCTTGTGTTTGACAGTAGGCATGTCTATCTTGCTTGACTCAGATCATGAGCAGAGAGAAGCATATCTGGAGTACTCAAGGGATGTCATTAAGTACTTTGTAGAGAACTCTGCTGAGTTTTATGGCAACACCTTTTGTGTGTACAACATCCACAGCCTGCTCCACCTGTATGAAGATGTAGAGAATTTCAAATGTTCCCTGAATGAAATATCAGCATTCCCCTTTGAGAACCATTTGCAGTCAATCAAGAGAATGGTTCGAAATGGCCAAAATCCAATTGCACTGGTCACTAAAAGAATTGTGGAAAAGGAGCAGGCAAAGCCAAGACAAACATTGTCCCACAGGAGGTTTTATGTCTCAGCCAAAACTCGAGACAGTTGTGTCTTCCTGGAAGATAAGATCGAGTTTGTGAGGGAGAAGAGGGCTGATGGCAAGCTGGTGGCTGATGTCATCACACTGGGTGATGCAAGTGATCTATTTGAAAAACCATGCAAGTCCAAGATCATCAACATTGCATATGTGGACAGAAGAATGGACCAAGCACATCGGCAGTTGGTGGATAAGAGAGAAGTGGTGAAGAAGGCTGTTTGCATTCCACATTCAGATGGATTTGCCATCTTTCCTCTGCTACATGGCATCAACTAATTCAGCAGTCATCTTAAAGGACTTGATAACGTAGCAGAACAGATCGCATCAGCAGCAAACTGTTAATTCTCACAGTCCCCAAATGCTGCTTATAAAATACTGATTGACTAAATGTTCAAGGAAAAAATGAACCTGCACAACACACCTGTCAACAACTTGCAGCACAACAGACTGTTAAAGGCACATTACAGTTTGAGAAGACACATCAAAGAGCCCAGCTGCCACACACTTTCAACCACCTGCAATGCCGATACCATGCTGGCAGCCCAATGGAAATAATTGTCTGTTACAACAGTATGGGCAAAAAAAGAGGTATGACATTGCTACTTTGCTGTTCTCCAAACCTTTTATTCCCTCAAAATACTAACAACCCAATGATGTGATTTTAATCACAATTGATCAATCCATCTGTAACTTTCTCCGTAAAGTTGCTAACAGACAAACAAACAAACAAACCAACGCTATGAAAAACATAACCTCCTTGGCGGAGGCAACAATCCTCTCTCAAAAAGCCTTCAATATGATTTCACAGACAAAGTACCCCGACCCACCAAGCCTGTGATAGCCAACACCAATTTCAATATGTTGTCATCTAACACAGATTTTAAGCATTATGGCGTGCAGCTGCTTATTTAGAAGATGTATTGGGCCAACGTGCACCCGGCCACTTATGTTTCTTTTCCACATTTTCAGCATTGCCATTTTGAAATGTGTTTACTATTTGTCAACTATTACATATAGGGCTCTATTTTCGTGCGCGCCGGTGAGGCGGCGGAGGGCGGCGAGCCCCGCGCAGTTGTATTTTCGTCCGGCGGAGCCCAGCGTAAGGCCAGTTTGGTATTTTCGTGGCATGAGCCGCACGGAGGCGAGCCGAGATCCGCCAAGCTGGGCGTGGTGGCGTGGCAGGGGGAGGTTTCGACAGAATCAGCTGGCGCAGTGACATTTTCGTGCTCGCCAACGGCATGTAAAGTGCGCTGAAAGCTCGCCGATTCAAACCTGGTCAGCTTTCAGTGCAAGGCGGAACGCAGCTGGTCTTGTAGTATTTTGGTAGACCGGCGGCGTATCGACATACGTCACTGATGCCTCACCGGCAGGTTTCCACAGTGTCAGGCAGATTTCAGTGCAATAAATAATCATCATCAACTATTAATCTGAGTCAGCACATATATTTAGATCTATATAGATATATTCTGATCTATATCTGATCTGATGAGCGCGTTTGGCACGCGTTTGGACACACAACCTGACCGAATCAACACAGCTGAAACCGCACCAAATTAAATTAAATATCTAGTAAATATACACACATGATGAAGTTAACAAGATATGTAATTCGTCTCCCTCCTTTTCTTTCTTCCTCTTCCTCTTATTTCTCGCACAGCTCGACCTGGACACGTCTCCGTGTCCTCTGTCCGTCTTGCTGCTGCTGCAGCTGAACAGATGATTTGTTTCAGCGCTCAGATGCGTTATCTACTTTAAGCCGACATACGGATATTATAATATTCAGTTTTGTGAGCCAAATTTATTTTATATGCCAACATCTATGAAAGAAAGAGCCAGGCCACGGAGCGCGATGGGTCATTTACGCACAGATGGTTCTGATTTTAATGCCATTTTTGGAGTTTATGTTGTGATCTGTGCGCTCAACCCACCTTTGTCACGTGAGGTTTGAATATGAGCAACTTTATGTGAGTGTCTTTATTTGTGGAAACGGGTGTTTGTCTTACCAGTGGGTCCAACATTACGCACACTAAATCCATCTGTGCTCATATGAGAGAGTGTGGAGGACACTTGTTGAGGAGCTGCCCTCTGTCGCCATCTTGTGGCATTACTGTCTTAAGACATCTCTTGATCTCTTTGACTACTCCATGAAAATAGTAATACGCCTCGCCTGTGGCGGATTTAAAGGCGAGGAGAGGAGCCTATGTGATTGGTGAAAACAGGTCTTGGCTGTGTTAAACCAACTACACGCCCTTTCTCCTCCCCGTCTATGACTTATGGTGCTGGGAGGAGCTGAGTTAGGGAGGGGGGATACTTACGCCGGGCTGCGCGGCTCACCAAAATACCAAAATGTGCTTGGGAACGCCTTGTCAGCGCGGCGGATCTGACTGACGCTGCGCTTGCGGCACGTCTCCGGCGAGGCACCAAAATAGAGCCCTTAGTGTCTCAAATCTCGGTGTTTGAATATCAGTAATTGATGACCAGTGGTTAATTGTACATTTTAATTTTCAGAACATGTCACAGCGGGAGACAACCCGGGTCTCTAAAAAGAAGACCTTCCCTGATTTTGTTCAAGGTAGGTGCCTCTTGTATTTTAGATTGATATCACATACTGTACACATTTTGTCTACTCATTGCTAGCTTTGTTTTTTTTTAGTCTAAGCACATGCTATCTGTCTCTAGGGCCCACGTATCCATCACCCCCAAAGAAATACATGAAGGGTTCCCACACAGTGCCCTCAAATGGTAATTATAAATACATATTCATTCATCAAACAACAAACGGATTATATATATATGTGCAATGTTACATATGAGGTGACTGGTTATATTTGTGTTGATTTTGAGTAATCCCATTTTTTCCCTTTCAGCCCCTGGTCCATCTCAGCAGCCACAAAAGGCAAACGTGGCCACCACCGCAGGTAAATATCAATGTCAATTTTTTTTCCCCATTTTCAACTATAGCAAGCGATGAATGTATTTGTCTGTCGTTGTTAAACTACACAGAATTGTTTGAATCTTGTTACAGGTCCTCAAAATGCCCCACGGAAGAGAACCCTACCACGGCATGTTCCACGTAAGGAATTTGCTTATGGCAATATTTTTTAAATTGTCTTATGATTATCCTTGATAGTCCTTTTTAATATTAGTAATCATAACTGCTTTTGCACTTACAACCGCATATTAACTCCCAAGCATATTCAAGTGGTCTGAAGAGCCACACCCACACATATCTTTGAAATTATTCAAGTGGGGAATAAAGGATAGAGTTCCGAGTTTCCTTTTCTGTATATGAGAAGTAGAGCTGGCTTTTTTATATAGACCGATGTCAGGCAGTATTTAACTTTGGATCCTACCATGAGTGGAAGCCATTGTGTGTATGGCTTTTAGATAACAAGTCATGATCTTTTCATTGTTTTGTATTAGGTTTTCTGCAGAGTGGTGTAGCTTTTTTGGATTATTTTATATTTTATCTATAAATGTTGATTATTCATTTTACCATGTGCTGTCCTTACTTTGTATAAAGCCCTCTGGAATGAGAGGATCTGTTAAATGCCAGAATTGTAAAAATTTTTTTTTAAAAATTCAATTTATGTAGGCAAAGAGGACTTGTTCTCCGAGGACTTGTTTGCCGATCCACCGGAGACATCAACAGAAGTTTCCAAATGTAAGACTATGGCAATTTTCAAATAGTATGAATTACAAGCATTGCTTCGTCAAAGGTGACTATTTATTTTATCCTCTGTTATTAGCTTGGCAGCCATCACCCGACAGCTCCCTCACACAGATATCCTGTGAGTTAACAATCTTCCTCTTTATTATTATTTTTTGTTATTTGTATCAATACTTCTTAATTGAATTAATGAAAACGATAAACATCTAAAATAATAATGTCTTCCCCAGGCGAGTCACCAGCCTCTTCAGATTTAAATGCACCTCTGCATACATCTACACCAGGTATAAATGATTTTTTTTTATTGGACAAAGTATTAACGCCTAGGTCAGAGAGAATATAAATTTTTATAATTTTCATATCCATTTCCCAGCTATGCAAGGTCACACAACATCAGCAGTCCCTGAGAGTGGCTGTTATAGAATAAAAGTCAGAACACAAGATGTTTTTGACAAGTACAGCAAATACACAGGCACCATTGTGAACAACTAATGAATATTTTAAATTATTTATCCTCAACAGCGAATGGGTGAAGTAAAAAAAGTTTAAGTCTACGCATGCAGCCAGGACTGTTGTAAATTTCATTTGTTTCTCTCACCGCAGTTGATCAAGCGCCAAACACCCCAGTAGGACCTGGGAGGGCCCGTGGCAGACAGTGCAGCCCGGTCCTGACCCGTGCCCGGACCCCACAGAGTAAACATTGAAGATTATAGCACTGATCACAATGATGATGGAAGATGAACTAATTATATACCTTTGCTTCCCCCACCCCTGTGTACATTGTTATATAATATAGGGTGTAGACATCTGAAGTTAGAGATAATAACATTGTTTTAAGCCTCTACTGAATATACCACAAATGTCAGAGTGCGAGTGAAATAGGCTTAATTTGAATGTGCTTTCTCTCTTTTCTGACTACTTTATCATCCACCCCCAATAGCTTATAGTGGTGGCACAAGGACTGAAGTCCTTGTGTGCAGCCTGGACTGTTGTTAATTTTATTTGTTTCTCTCTCAGCACTTGTTCTAGTGCCAACCACCCCAGTAGGACCTGGGAGGGCCCGTGCAAGACAGCGTAGCCCGGTCCTGACCCGTGCCCGGACCCCACAGAGTAAACATTGAAGATTATGGCAGTGATCACGATGACGGAAGATAAACTAATTTTATACCTTTGCTTCCCCCATCCCTGTGTACATTGTTATATAATATAGGGTGTAGACATCTGAAGTTAGAGATAATAACATTGTTTTAAGCCTCTACTGAATATACCACAAATGTCAAAGAGTGTGAGTGAAATAGGCTTAATTTGAATGTGCTTTCTCTCTTTTCTGACTACTTTATCATCCACCCCCAATAGCTTTTAGTGGTGGCACAAGGACTGAAGTCCTTGTGTGCAGCCTGGACTGTTGTTAATTTTATTTGTTTCTCTCTCAGCACTTGTTCTAGTGCCAACCACCCCAGTAGGACCTGGGAGGGCCCGTGCAAGACAGCGTAGCCCGGTCCTGACCCGTGCCCGGACCCCACAGAGTAAACATTGAAGATTATGGCAGTGATCACGATGACGGAAGATAAACTAATTTTATACCTTTGCTTCCCCCACCCCTGTG